CTCCTCGTTTTTTTCTGCCTCCCATGGGTGAACTTCATGTTCCTGAATGAGACCAACCCTTTGCTAGGTAATGGCTTCTATCCCATCTTACCTGTTCATGGTAATTCTTCAATTCTGCCCACTCTTTCCTGTAGCAGCAGACATTTCTGTCAGCATAGAAAAATGTATAGTTTCTCTTGTCCTAAAATGCCCTCTTTTAGCCCTGTGTCCCTCTCTCTCCCTGGTCTCCTGTCATTTATTGCAAAACTTCTTGACAGATTATCTAACTGCATTGCCTACAATTCTTCCCACTATCTCTTCAACCTGCTTCAACCAGACCTTTCCTGCCTACTGCCATTATTCCACCATCGTCCATCCACCAATGCCTTGCCAAGAATAACAGTGATCCTCCTGTAGATAAACCCACTGGGTACTTCTGAGTCCTTATCTACTTTACTTGACTTCTCAGTGCTGTCTAACAGCAGCATGATGCAAGCCTCATAGGTAATTTAAATTTTTCTAGTAACCACATTTAAAAAGGTAAAAAGACAGGTGAAATTAATTTTAATATATTTTATTTGATCCAGTATATCCAATATATCATTATTTCAACATATAATCAGTATAAGAATTCCCGAGACTTTATCTTATTTTTATCATTCCAAGTTTTTGAAATCTGGCATGCATTGTACCCTGCCAGCGTATCTCAGCCTGGAGGAGCCACATACCACTGGGTACTCCATAGCTGTGTGTGGCTTCCTGCCACCAATTGAACAGCACATCCTCAAGTGCCCTTTCCCTCTCTTTTTGCCCTTGTAATGACCATTTACATGCCTATCTTGAGTGTTACCTTAGTCATTTTGCATATATATTGTGTACAGCTGCCTTGTGCTAAGTGGTAGGCTAGATTCTGGTGGTGCAGTGTTGTACCTTTATGTAATATACCTGGTCTTAAGCTTGTGTTGCCCAAGTCTTATTCTCTTTTTTGCAGTGAAACTTTTTCTGAGGCTCTATTTCCTCCCTTCTCTCCTTCCCAGTAAATTAGATATTTTTTGGCCGGGCGCGGTGGCTCAAGCCTGTAATCCCAGCACTTTGGGAGGCCGAGGCGGGTGGATCACGAGGTCAGGAGATCGAGACTATCCTGGCTAACATGGTGAAACCCCGTCTCTACTAAAAATACAAAAAACTAGCCGGGCGTGGTGGCGGGCGCCTGTAGTCTCAGCTACTTGGGAGGCTGAGGCGGGAGAATGGCGTGAACCCGGGAGGCGGAGCTTGCAGTGAGCCGAGATCACGCCACTGCACTCCAGCCTGGGAGACACAGCGAGACTCCGTCTCAAAAAAAAAAAAAAAAATTAGATATTTTTATACAGCACCGTGTATTGCTTTGTTATAGTCCTTATCACAGTTGTAATGGTTTACTTGTGCAATATTTGTTTCAAGTCTGGATTCAAGTTATCATTGTTTGCTGCCGTATTTCTGATATTTGGAACACAGTCTCGCACCTAATAACTTCTCATACTTCATTCACTTACATGCCAGGCATGGCCCTGCTTCCGTGTAATCTGGTGGTGGACAAGGTGGACATGATACTCCCATCCTCATGGGGCTTTCCTTCTAGTTATAAAATAGGATATAAGAAAGAAAATAAGCAATATAAATAATGTGATGTGCTAAAGGGCTATAGTAGGGTGGTATGAGAGAGAGTATCTGAGTGTTTGATTTAGAGTAGGTGGGCACTGCCAGCCCCTGTTAACCCTGTTCTCTTTATAACATGTTTTAAATTATCTTTTGCTATCCTGAAATTAAAATTACAGAGCATGTTATTCCCCTACTCAAATAATTTTTTAAAATCTCTTTATCAGTATCTAAAAGTTCAGCACAATACATTGGAAGGCACTATAGTCAGATGCACCCACTTAGTAATGACTTTTAATTTGAGGGAGGGCAATCAGAAGTCACTCCATACAAGTGGGATAGGAAAGTGATAGGGAAAATTAATGTGGCTGACCTTGGGGAATAATGCCAGAATGAGGCAGAAAAACAATTTTAAAAAATGTAATTTCCATAATCTAGATGTCTTACTATGCCTTCGAATTTTTTCTTAAATTATGTGATAGCAATAACAAGGACTAATTGAGATAGTATTCCTCATTTCATGTGTCACCACCAACATAATGATGTTCAGCTCTCAGTCTGTTGGAAGGAGCCTCTGACATCTTCTGTTACATACGTGCATGCAGTAGCTACAGATGCAAACTGATACAGGTGCATTGTGTCACTGACCAAAATAACTATAGCAAGTCTTACCCTTGGTGGTGTCATTCTCCAAAACGGTGAGCGACTCTTAATAAAACTTCAAAAACAGCATAATATAGGATTCCCTTGCGTTACACATAACTTGCGTTGCTGGAAAATTCAATGCAGAGCATACTTTGTGGTTTTAAACAGACTTTGTTTCTAGAGTCAAATTTTGCACTGACATAAATACACACCAGGATATTTGAAAGCCATTGAGGATACAGTACAATTTTTTATTGTGCAGGAATTACCCATGCTTCACGTGACATCTAGCACCCTTGGTTATCTTTCATATTCCTTATTATTTGGTCAACTAAAAACAGTCCACCCCTGAAATGGTTCTACCCCAACGAAACTAGAGCACATATCATCAAGACAAGATCATAACAGTAAGTTAGGTCAGAGAGGCAGGCAGGGGTCAAATCATGTAGACAGTTTGCTGATAGAAGTCATGCTGTGTAAATCATGTAAGTTATGATGCTTTGTATTGTACCTTTTTAAGCAGGGGAGTGATATGATCTGGCTTCCAGGTAGGGACATTATATTGTAGCATGGATGAAGGGAAACCAGTTAGGAAAAATGGCAGGACTCTAAGCAGAATATCATATGGTGGCCTGGACCATAGTGACAACTGTGAAGATGGGAAATAATAAACACATGGATTCTGGATGTTTGGAGCTGAAGTTGCCAGGGACTTGTGGAGAGATTGGATAATGGGGAAAGGGAGAAGAATCAGTGAGAATGCCTTTATTTTTGTTTTTATTTTTTGGCTCAGGATCTGGTTGAATATGATCCTTTTTTTTTTTTTTTTTTTAATTTATTTTTTTTGAGACACAGTTTTGCTTTATCCAGGCTGGAGTGTAGTGGCATGATCTCGGCTCACTGCAGTCTCCAACTCCGTGGTTCAAGTGTTTCTCCTGCCTCAGCCTGCCGAGTAGCTGTGATTACAGGCACATGCCACCACGCCCAGCTAATTTTTGTATTTTTAGTAGAGACGGGGTTTCACCGTGTTGACCAGGATGGTCTCAATCTCCCGACCTCATGATCCGCTCGCCTCATCCTACCAAAGTGCTGGGATTACAGGCGTGAGCCACTGCGCCCGGCCAAATGTGATGCTTTTTATTGAAGTCAGGAAGCCTGGAGGAAGAACATGTTTTGAGAGAGTACCCTTTTGACTATGTTGTTAGTAATCTCTCGCAGACACCCATGTGGTAATATGACATAGGGAGTTGGATGCGTGAGTCTGAGTTCCAGGGAGATGTCAGGGCTGGAGATGGTACTTAATGCGCCAGGACTGTATGGTATTCGTTTGCCATGGCACAACTAGGGGGAATAACAGGGCCCACCCAGCACAGAGCTGTGCAGCCCTTTCACATTTATAGATTGAGTAGGAGAGAAGCCAATAAAAAGAACTGGGAAAGAGAGACCAATGAGATGGAAGAAACCCCAAAAGGGCAGGATGTCCCAGAGGATAAGCGGGAAGAATATGCAGAGGGACTGTGGGACATGCTGTGGAGAAGCCTAGGCCCAGAGAATGGAGTACTGCCTGTGGCCTCCTGGGGGAAGACAGGAGCCCCGCAAAACATACGTCCCTACAAACAGTGCAGGAAGATGCTTTGCTGGGAAGGGCAGCTCAGTGTGAATCTTTTTTTGAACAATTCCAACTCAGTTGTAGTGGCATCGTCTGTTCTCCATGAAATGAGAAGGGGTATTAGCTGTCAGAGTGGCCTTAAGCAAGCAAACTGTTTTGAAGAAATGTATAGGAATCTTCACATGCAAAATGATCATCCTCATGAGATGCTAGAAGGGTGGAAGATACGTGTATCTTCTATATGTATTTTTTTGAGGAAGGGTCTCACTGAGTTGTCCAAGCTAGAGTGCACTGGTGCAGACTCAGCCTCCTAAGTAGCTGGGTCTACAGGCACAGACCACCATGCCTAGCTAATTTTTTTTTTTTTTTCTGGTAGAGAAAGGGTCTCACTATTTTGCCCAGGCTGCTTGAACTCCTGGCCTCAAGGGATCATCCCACCTCAGCCCCTCAAAGTACTGGGATTATAGATGTGAGCCATTGCTCCCAACTTTATTTTTTTTCTTTTTAAGAAGGAGAGTGTTTATTAATTTGTGCAGCAGTAATAGAAGGAAAAGAAAAAAAAAGAAGCAAAAGTTTATACTATTTAGGAAAATGACCATAGACTCTCCTGGCATGTCTTAAGAGGTTATTCTGTATTGGGAAGGGCCCTTTAGATACCTACTGTCTCCCTAGCTACAGAACTCCAGCAAGTTTTAGAACTTACTGTAGCCCAGGGTGCATGGAGAGTAATCCCAGATCCTCTTTCTTTGGGAATGGGAGCAGAATGTTCTCTCTAAGAATTTCGTATGTTTCCTCCCAGGCTGGCAAACGAGTCAGGCCAAAGGTTGCTTCAGCTTCCCTCCTTCCTTTATCTTCTGTTCTCTCTCGGTGGTAACTGCACTCTCACTCATCCGACTCACATATGGGTCTCCTCAGCACATCACAGAGAGCAGACCTGGACCTGACCTTGAAGTGCAGGAGACAGTCTCATGGCTGCTCCCCTGGGGCAGCATGGAGAATCTGGTTTTTTCCCCAGACCTTCATTCTTAGGGAGGATGTTTTCAGGACAACAAGGATTTCACAGAACATTTACAGACTCCGTGAAATGAGTTTTTTATCCGTAGTCTAAAGATTTTACCTTTCCTTTTTATAGCCCACACATCTTGCTGACTTCACTCAAGTGCAGACCATTCAGTATTCAAACAGTGAAGATAAGGACAGAAAAGGAATGCTACAACTAAAAATAGCAGGTGCACCCGAGGTAAGGAACTGTTACATTCATCATTAAGGGAAAATGGTAACATAGTGGTGTTTTAGAACTATTGACTTCTTTATGAAAAGGATGAAGTTTTCATGGATCATCAGAATCACAACTTTCTTAAATATTGAAAGGGTTACATTACAAATAATAATGATTAAATATCCCCAAGAATAGGACAGGAGACAGATTTAAAAATCATTCAAGAACATTATTGTAAAGATAATGATGATTAAAGATTATAATCAGGCCAGGTACCATGGCCCACACCTGTAATCCCAGCACTTTGGGAGGCTAGGGAGGGCTGTTCACTAGAGGCGAGGGGACACATGGTGAAACCCTGTCTCTATTAAAAATACAAAGATAAACCAGGCATGGTGGTGCACACGTGTAATCCCAGCTACTTGCGAGGCTGAGGCACAAGAATCTCTTGAACCCTGGAGGCAGAGGTTGCAGTGAGCCAAGATGGCACAACTGCACTCCACCCTGGGTGACAGAGCAAGACTGTGTCTCAAAAAAAAAAAAAAGGATTATCATCAAGTACCAAGGAAATTAACTTCTTGAAATTATATGTACAGTCATGTTTTGCTTAACAACAGATACATTCAGAGAAATACCTAATTCCCTGATTTCTTTGTTATGCAAACATCAGAGACTGTTCTTACACAAACCTAAGATGGTTGTAGCCTGCTATACACCTAGGCTATACAATATAGCCTGTTGCCCCTAAGCTACAAACCTGTATAGCATATTATTATACTGAATAATTCAGGGAATTGTAACACAGTGGTATTTGTATCTCTAAATATATGTAAACATAGAAAAGGCACAGTAAAAATACAGTATAAAAGATAAAAAATGGTATACCTGTATAGAGCCCTTACCATGAGTGTGCTTGCAGGATTGGAAGCTGCTGTGGGTGAGTCAGTGAGTGAATGGAGGGTGAATGTGAAGATCTACGACATTACTGTGCACTACTGTAGACTATAAACACTTTACATACTGTATATGAAGTATACACCATATACTTCAATTTATTTTTAAAACCTTTTTCTTTAGTAGTAAATATTAGCTTACTGTAACTTTTATATTTTATAAACTGATTTTTTTCAGCTTTTTTGACTACAACAATTAGTTTTAAATATATTGTACAGCTGTACAAAAATATTTTCTTTTTTTACATACTTATTGTGTAAGCTTTTTTCTAGTTTTAAAATGATTTTCTGTATTTTTTACTTTTTAAAATTTTTGTTAAAAAGTAAGACACAAACATACACACTAGCCTAAGCCTACATAAGGTCAGGAATATCCATATCACCATCTTCTACCTCCACATCTTGTCCCACTGGGAGGTCTTCAAGGGCAGTAACCCATGAAGCTGTCACCTCCTATGAGATCAGTGCTGCCTTCTGGAATACTGCCTAGAAGCCCTGCGCGAGACTGTTTTACAATTAACTTTTTAAAAAAAAAATAAGTAAAAATACACTCTATTTTTAAAAAAAAAACAGTAAATACATAAACCAGTAACATAGTCATTATCCAGTATTATGTGCTGTCCATAGTTGTATGTGCTGTACTTTTATAAGACTGGCAGCACAGTAGATTTTTTTTACAGCAGCTTCACCACAAACATGAGCATTACAACTTCAGGATGGCTATGGCATACCCGGCAATAGGAATTCTTAGCTCCATTATATAAATCTTATGGAACCACCATTGTATATGTGGACCATCATTGACCAGAACGTTGTTATGTGGTGCATTGACTGTATATATACTGTAAACTGAGTTAATTTCCACACTGTGTTGTCCATGGTATTCTCTGGGTAGAAATAATTATTACGTGATTATAATAATAATTATTATATGATTATAATAATTATAACAGCAGCAGTACCTGATACTGGGCACATGCTACCCGTGGTTCTTTATGCAGAAGCCAAGAGAAGCTGTGTCATTCTCACAACCAAGGAAGTAGATACTTTGGTATACTTTGGTTAACCCCATTCTGTAGTTGAGGAAACTGGGGCATAAGAGGTTGGTCACATCAAGTAATTGACAGAGATGGGGTTCATACCCAAACAGTCTGGATCCAAAGCCTATATTCTTAACAGGCAACAGTGATTTAAAACAAGTGGCATGAGAAAGAGCCATTTGGCAAATGCTGCCTAATGTGGTTCTTTCTGCAAGATGGAGAAAATACACTCATGTGTGAAAGGATCTGGACAGTCTGGTGGCACACATGGTTGTGCTGGTGTGTAAAGCATGTTTTTTGAAGCTCATCTCTTTCCATCAGCACACCAGGATTCTTTGGTCTGTTATGGCCAGTTCTCTGGGTGGCTTTATTTGCAGCACTCCTCACTTAGGCGGATGCCTCATCACTCTTCTGCCCTGAGTTTCTGTGAGTTTGGTGACATCTGAGGGGCTCTAGGAACTCATGTTGATTCTGGAGATTAAACAAATACTAATTTTCTTTTACATTAGAAATTATGATGGATGGTTGATAAAAAATTTAGTCCACATGAGTTTCTGATAGAAGTCATACTTTAACTTGCTGATTGTCTAAATTCTTCCCTTAACTGGAGTATGCCAGAGGGGCCAGACATTCTGAAGGAAAATATTTTTTCATCTATATTTATTCTAGAGCCCCAGTTTAAAAGATTTTTCTGTTTTCATCTGGGTTTGCGTTTGTCACATATTCTAGGAATAATGTCCTTAAATATCAGATTTCCTTTCTCAAATCTTATGACAAATCTTGTTTCATTCCCACTCTTCTCTGTTTTCAAGTGTATAGAGATGTCTGATGTCATAGCACAGCTGCCCTTTGCTTACAGGGAAGAACAATAAAGTCTGTTTTCTTGGTCTATTCTCCTTTAGCCTCTGACAGTGACGGCACCATCCCTAACCATTGCGGAGAATATGGCTGACCTGATAGATGGGTATTGCCGGCTGGTGAATGGAGCCTCGCAGTCATTTATCATCAGACCCCAGAAAGGTGAGGTGCTGTTTCTGAGCATTCCCAATTACATTTCTACCAAATATTTAGCTGAGCTTGCCTCTAACAGCCTGTTTATCCTCTTTTAGGTAACTGTAAAAATGAAAACCAAATGAATAATTCAACTCAGTATAATCTGAGTACTTACTTTTCTAGGGATGGTGATCCATTTCACACCTTCCACAAGCTGGGAGCTGGGTTTGAATAGAGCCTTAAAAAAAAACATTGTATGTGTTTTGAGCTACCTACTTAGAGGATTTTCTAAATTACCATTACTATTTTTAAATACATTAGTATTTTTAAACTTTTGGGTTTAAATAAAATTCTGGTTTTAAAAAAAGGAATCCCTTGTAACTCACTGTAAATAAAGTATCCTCTCTATTTTTTCTTATATATCGCAAAAGCTTAGACCATTTGAAGAATAAAATACATTCTAAGTCATGAATCTTTAAAAAATCAAAGATTAGAATGAATAAATATCCTAGAAACATCACTATGAAAACGGTGCGGAGTTTCTGCAAGCATATAATGAGGAATGCTTTTGAGGATTTGGATTTCTGAAAGAATCAAATGAAAATATTCCCAGCAGGATAATAGCATACATAATGTGAAGCAGGAAAAGACTGAATTTGGAAATTATGGGACTTAAGTTCAAATCATGAGTCCTCTGTGACACCATCTATAAATTACTTTTCTGTGCCTCAGTTCTGTTATCTGTCAAACATGAAGAACAGTAACTGTCTTCTATGGTATTAGGAGGATAAAGGACTTATTTGTTTATAGGCTTGGAACTATGCCTAGCACACTTGATGCTCATAGATTTTAGTTATATTGTTGTTCCTTTTGTTGCTACTAGTTTAGTCTGATCTTGACACTGTATTAACCTAGACTTTGAAATACCTCATCTGTAAAAGAATGATACCTACTTTGTAGGGTTGTTAGACACATCCCAAAGAGTAACTGTAAAGGAGCTCACACTGTGGAAGTGGGGACTCTGAATGTGGGTTTTGTCCTTATTGCCAAGACCCTTTCTAGCACTCACCTCAGTGACTAGGATGATTGTAGAGGGAAAAAAAAATCCTGAAGTGCAGTGTGGTGTGTGTTCAAGTCAGCGGAATTGTATTAAACAGTGATGAGGATAGAGAAAAGGCCAAAGCCCAAGTGAAGCAGATAGAAATGCAGAGGATCCAGCCTTGCCCAGCAGGGAAGTACTCTGTTTACAAAGCAGTTTGAGAAAGGGATGGTGTTTGCATGGGAGGTATATGTGTGTGTTGTGTGTTTTGTAGAGAGGAGTCATTGGACCCTTTATTTATATATCTCAAAAGAGGTAAGTGATGGCGCTGTGCCCTGAAAACAGCAGCTGAAGCCATGAGCCTTCGCTGAGTAAACATAAATCTGTGTGATTCCAGGACGTGGCTTTTTCTAGAGAAAAAGTGTTTTTCCCACAGTGATCGCACCAGTAAGGCCTATTCGTATATTTTTCCTAACTTTTCTTTGTATAAAACAGAGGAATGAAGTTGCTTTCAGAAATCTCTAAAGTTACTCTCAGTTAAAGCCTTTGCAGCTATAGGTCTTGATTTTTCACTTTGTGCTTTATTTTTTATTTTTATTTTTGACATTTTCTTCTTCCAGTGTCACACTTTATACTTTAAACAGGAGTATATGCCTTATAAATATTATTTAAATGTTTTCAGATAATTTCTTTACATAAAGATAGCAATTTAGGAAAAATGTTAAATGTGATAGATTGACCATTTCCTTTTTAGTAAATAATTTTTTATCTTTTATCTTCAGTTTACCAAAAGGTCCTTGAAATACACATTTAAAAATAACATTGGTATGTCAGGCATTAAATGAGCCTTCCATGTTTAAAACGTAAACATCTTCCTATATTGGTTTCGCTATTAGCTAGCTTTTTTTGATCTCTAGGGAGAAACATTTTGATTTCAAAACATGAAATGTGATGCTTTTTAAGCTATTTGTTCATATGAAAAGAGCATTAATGAAAATACTTGTCATGAAAAACTAGATAGGGTATTGGTTGTTTCCAATTTTATATTGTCTTTATAAAATGAATTATTAAACTTGATAATTTTCTTATTCTCAATCATAGCATGTTTATGTATTATATAACTATTTCATCGTAGATCCCTAAGGTGAAGATATATTGCCTAGTTAAAATAATATTAAAGGCAAACATCAAACATCTTTAGTGGGTTGTAGTTAGAAATACATGTTGACACAGCACATGTGCATCTTTTAATTGAGATTTTTTAAGAATTCAAATGTTAAACATGTTTCTATAACTCTAATGTACCATTTTCCTGGAAACATGCTTTACATAATAATTATATATGCCCATCTGTCTTCTCTAGATCATAAACTACTTATACATGTATACGTGTATATGCATAACATAGCATGACAGTAATAAGTGATCAGTACATTCTACATGTGAACTGGGTGTGCCCAGATGCATTTTGTTAGTTCTTTGATCTACCGTAGTTACTTTGGATTTATAAAGTGCTTTTTAAAAGGGATGTTACCTTGTCATAGTGGCTCATGTCTGTAATTCCAGCTGCACAGGAGAATCCCTGAGGCCAGGTATCTGAGACCATCCTGGGCACACTGTATCTAAAAAAAAATAAGTTAATTAAAAAAAAATAAAAATAAAAGGTGATTTTACTGGGGAGACCATAGTAAGAGCCACAAGCCAAATTGTCCTGGACTACATTCCACCACAGTCTGCATAACCTTGGCCCTTACTGTAGGACATTATCTAATCTACACCTTACCTGAAAGAAAGTTTACAATCAATTTTGCAGTGTTAGTAAAATTCTGTAGTAATATTTTTTTCAGAGGAAAGTGAATTGTGTAATATAGAGTTGTAATTACATAATTTTAAGTAGGTTTTCTATGTATAGAATGATGGTGAATACTGTACATTTCAAGGGAGGGAGGGAATGCTTCTAAGCATGACAAATTCTGAAAGATATAAAAATAAAATTGTTATATTTAATTACATAATTAAAACACTTATGTGCTGCTGAAGTGAGCACAATTACATAATTAAAACAATTCGTTTAGTACAAGGTAACATTTTTAAAGCTATGATGACAGGGGAAGATATCTATGACACATATAACAAGTAATTAAAATTTCTCATTTTCAAGTATTCTTCCAGGTCATTCAGTAAAAGACAAGCTAGTATAAAAATGGGTTACCTTTTAGAGGAATGGACACACAAATGTTCAGTGAATATATGGATACAGTGATATATTTCATTTTATATTTACTACGTTGACTAAAGAAACCTGATAACCACCACTGGCAAGACTTCTGGAGAATACACTCTCATGCCTGTGTCATTGTAAATTGGTACATTTTCAGAAGACAGTTTAGGAGTACTCTGCCCATTTGTCTGCCTCTTGGAAATCAGTCATGCAAACCACTGACCTGAGGAGGATATTCACTATTGCATTGTTTATAATAGCAAAAAATGAGCAAAAATTAATAAATGAGGGAGTATGCATACATGATGTAATACTACGCAGCTGTTTAAAAAATAGCTCTGTTAATGTATTAAAAACCTACATGTAAATGTGTGTGTATGTCTCCAAACTTTTGTATTTATAAGCATTAAAAAGTCTGGTAAGTTAAGTCACCAGTTTCAGTTAATGAAGACTTCTAAGAAGAATGGAAGTACATTTGAACAAAAACATTAACTCCCAGAATTAGACATTTTAGGTAGTGAGTCCTTAGGGTTTTCTTAAATGCTGCTTCTACTGATGGTGTCTGTTGCCATTTTTCTGTATTCCATTATTCTCTTTATAAAAATATTCTCTCAGAATCCTTCTGTTGCTTATCTCCTTCTTTATACCTGCCTTTCTACCCACGCCCGGCTACTTAGGAAGTCTCCTATTAGCCAAAAATATAATAATGGATTCTTTTTTCTTTCAGGAAATAGAAATTTCAACAGCGTGCAAACAGAAATCACACTAATGTGTCATTTGAAAGGCTATATTATTAACAGTTTGGGTATGAGTAAGGTGGTGGTGCTGGTGGTGAGTGGTGGTCATGTTCATGGGATAATAAACTTATCAGGTCTTTTCAGTTACTCTGAATTTGGTCTTCCTGGTGTGACTTGGTTATTTTGCTTGAAATAGATGTTCAAAATGTCAACAAGTGATGGCTTGCAGTTTGGCTTGAATTCCTATGATGTGCAGTGAGTTGTATATATACAGCATTAAGCCTCACAACCATCTCTGCAAATTAGAAGAATTAAACAGTTTTTCAGAAAGAGTAACATGGGGTTCTAGGCTGATTTTTTTCTTTCTTTACCAAACAGTGGTTGGAGAGTCTCCCAAGTGCCAGATACTCCGCTAGGTATTAGGGATGCCATTGGGCAGCTTAAGTCTTACCGTAACCTTAGGCAGGTTGAATAGTCTGTGGAGAAGTATGATATGTGGCAAATACTCTGTGGATGCAGCAGAAACATAGAGGATGCCACTCAGTGCAGACTGAGGTATTCCAGGAAGGGCTCCCTGCAGGAAATAGAACTTGAATTGAGCTTTGAAATATTGAGGAATGTTTCTACCCGAATGAAGGAAGAGCACCTTTCAAGGCATGTGTGGTATGTTCAGGGGAATACAATGTGCAGCAGTATAGAATCAGGGAATAGTGACGAGTAATACCGAAAAGCCAGATTGGCCAGACCAAACACTGCATGCTTTCAACATGTAGTTGTTGAGCTCCTCCCATTTTCCAGGCACAGTTCTAGGATAGAGGTTGTAGCAGCAAACAAAATAGACAAGGTTTTGCATGCATGGAAATTTTTTGTAGGTGAGGACGTACATGCAATAAACAGAGTAAATTAATAGAGAAAATAAATACTGTAGCATATAATATATCAAATGGTGTTGAGCTGTATCGAGAAAAATAAGACAGGGAAGAACGTAAGGGATACAATTTTAAATAAGGTTGTCAGGGAAGGTCCCACT